TGAATAATAATGAATGAATAATTGAATTATTTACAACAATTATCTCTGTTAATATCAATGTGGGGTTTTGTTTTTGGCAAAGTGTTTGAAATGGATTTCTTGGCTATTCTCTTTTAGAATCTTTTTTGTTTTTTCAAACAAGTATCATTCAGGACTCTTTATGGAGAAAAGCTCCCCTCTGTTAACAGTGCCCTTTTGGCAGGTTAAGTGGGGAAGTGGGTTCTGGAATGCAGTGGGTGTTCTAGGTTCTTTGAGCAGAGGTCCTGAGTGCTGGGGGGGGGAGGGAGGAGCCAGTCGGCGGGGGTTTCCAGGTGGTGTGGGATGTGGCAGGGGAATGTGAAGTCTCCCCAGAGCAAGTGCTGCTGAGGGCTTACTGCCTACAGAGAGTCCCTTGTATCACTGCATTGTACCCTCCCTGCTGTCCTTGTCCCTGCCTGTTTAGTAGATGAGAAACCAAGGCTTAGCACTGAAGTGCCTGGGCAGGTTTCTCAGTCAGTACAGGGCTGTGGGCTCCCCTCAGGCCACATGTCCCTCACCTGGAAAACAGGCTTAGCAATGGCACCCCTCAGCGCTGCCAGTGCGTGTGGGATACCCATATATCCTGAGGATGGGAAGGGCCCTGCCCACATTGGCTGTCACTGTTTCTCCTGTGCTACAGCCTGCAGGGTATGCAGATTTCAAAGGTCAACAAAGCCAGACTGGTTAAAGTGGTCAGGACAGATTTTCATCGGTAATAACTATTACAATAGGGAAAAGCATGCAGTGTCAACTGAACTCAACTTTGGTTTGTACAGAGGTGACTGGGCCTTTTAGAGAGAAAATGAGGGAATTGGGAGGGGGCAAGGAGAGCCTCAGTAGAGTCAGGGACATGAAAAACTACAAGAAGTGGGAAGTGCGGTTGTTCCTTGTGAAACCCATCTGAGTTTGCTAGCTGGAGCTTATTGAAGTTAGGCTCCTGCCCTCCCAAAGAGACTGGGAGACAAGGGCCCCACCTCAGGTGTTGGCTGGAATAAGTAGGACATCCTTTTGGCAGCCTTGCTTTCTCAGGAAGGCACTTCAAGGGGGGCTGGGGTCAGCCTCAGGTTGTGGCCTTGAGCTCAGGGAAACTATGTGGGTGTTTGTTCAAGTCTTTATAGACCAAGGTTGAAGTCTAGTCGAGAAGAGGGTTCAGAATGTCTTGGTTAAGCTTTGTTACATAGAAGCACAGGATTCCATCTTTGTCCGCAAAGAGTATATTCCTTGGTTGGGAACATGCTCTGCTTTGACATTAACACAAAAGTGGACAATAGATATCCAGTTTTGACCCTGTCATTAGGTTCCTGGGAAAGGAGCCTGGGAAGATGAACCACTGAAGGGTATGGGGGGGAAGTGAGCCTTGAAGGATGCCGGAATTTGGATAACTGAGGGAGTCACAGTGCTGGATTAGGGACAGAGGCAGAAGGAGGGAAGATGGTGAGGTTCCCTTCTAGGGACAAAGTATAGATCAACTTGTATTATTGTTGCTGATAATGATGGAAAGAGGCTTTAAAAATGAGACTAAGGGCTCTGGGCTCATCCCAGAAACAGGGGGGGCTAGCAAAAGTTTTTGAGTAAGGGAGCGAGGTGAAGAAAGCAGAGTTTTAAACAGATCAGTGATAGTGGACAGAATGGGAAAGTTTATACCTACAGCGGTCAGTGGGCAACCGGCGCAATGATTCACGCGTCTGTAATGATAACCTCTTCCATTCCATGCGTTGATTATAAACGTTCTTCAGTTTTTCTTATTGACCCTTCCTACCTAAGTAGTAGTGATATTAATAACAGTAGCATGCCACACATTATCATCTCACCATTTAATTTACTGTCTTTATGATAGATGAGAAAACTCTGGCACAGAGAGGTTAAGTGATTTGTCCAAGGTCACAGTTTCTAAACCCAGACTTAGGCATTCTGGCTTCCAGCCCAGGCTTTGACCACTACACTGTAGCATTTATTCTCCAATCTTTTCAAAAGAGCCCTGCGAGCCTTCAATGCATTTCTGGTGGAGCTTTGGTACGCCCAGCCACAGGTGGCCACTGGTAGCTCTCACAGTGATTGTGCACACACAAACATAGATGGGTAGGTAGTCAAAGACTACTTTAAAAAATTAGTGTGGGCCTGAAATAACTTGTGAAATGGCTATGGTGTCAGATACAGTCCCATCCATCCTAAAGACTGTTTGTTTCTGGCTCCATGGTTTAAGTGTATTTAGTCATTATTTTAATAATTCTGGTATAATGAACACACAGTGTTATATTAGTTTCAGCTGTACAATATAGTGATTCAGCAGTTCTATACATTACTCAGTTCTGGCTCCACGTTTTAGACTCATCACTAGAGAATCCCTCTGATGCTCTGGCATATGGGACGAGACTATTGGTTGGTTATGACATCATTGCCAGGTTGATAGTATAGTATAACAAGCAAATATCCTGGTTTCCTAGATAAGGACCCTCTGCTGTCTCTCCTTCCAGAGAGTGTTGACAAGGGGTGAAGAATAAGGTTCAACCTGAGGAGTTATGTTTAAGCCCCACTGGTCATCATCTTCTCTTTGTTTCTTCCTTCTTGTACATGCTCTGTTGGCTAGCTTTCTCCTACATCTGAGGTTTTATATAGCAGAGATCTAGTTTTTCAAATATGTATTTCTTTCATCAAGATGATGCTTCCATCAAGATGCTTATTACTGATGAAAAACCAACATCATTCCAACAAATGAGGCTCTGTCACCAGAGGTAAAGGTTTCATCATGGGTACAGGGTAGAGATTTTCATCCAGAGTGCATGCAGTTGTCCACTTTAAAGCATTTAGATGTGGAAAGTAGAGCTGTGGCAGGAATGGGGGAATCTGATCCAGGAGTTGGGGCAGAGCTGGGTGGATGAGCCCATGGTGTTGACCTCTGGCCCTTGAGCCAAAGTCTCCTCTCAACTGTTTTGCTTGTGCTCATGTTTCTTGCTACCCATTTTCAAAAGGAATGTCAAAGTAATTTTTTGAAGTAAATTTTTGAAGTGCATTGTTGAACGCTTAGTGTAGTATGTGACGGCAGGGTCTAAGCTGACCTGTTCATAACATGCTCTGCTGCCAACTATTTCTGTCATCTCAGGTGGAGCATTTCATCATCCCCATGAGCCTTGCTCTCCTCCATCTACAGAGGTGAAGATGGCAATGCCTACCTCCTGGGGTTGCTATGAGAAGTATAGCAATAAATATAATCTGGATAAAGCCCTGAGCTTTATATACATATGAATCACTCAGATGAACCTACTATTAATGTCAAAGAGAACATATTAGAAGATCAAATGGGGTGCCTGAGTGACTCAGATGGTTAAGCATCTGCCTTCCGCTCAGGTCATGATATCCAGGTCCTGGGATCAAGCCCCACGTTGGGCTTCCAGCTCAGCGGGGAGTCTGCTTCTCCCTCTCCCTCTGCCTCTCCCCCTACTTGTGTTCTGTCTCTCTCTCTCAAATGAATAAATAAAATCTTAAAAAAAAAGGAAGACCAAATAGGATGATGAAGATGGCATAGTAATAAAGTAAAGGGAAGAAGAGATAAAAGTTAGTAGCCAAATCAGATATATTACAGGGAAACAAACAAAAAGGTAGAACATTTTAATAAAAGTAAGTATAAGAACATCCTAGACAGGTAAAATAGATATAATATAACCAAGAGTATACTAAATATAACCAAGAGTGTACTAAATATAAATATAACCAAGAGTATATTAAAAAGAAGAAAAGACTGTTAATGGAGTCCAAGGGCCAGCATCACCGTGCTACCATACACCTGGTTCTTGGTTCTCCCTCTCCTCCCACACTGGTTGTCAAGGTCACTATGCAGAGTCCTGACAATGGAAATTTGAGGTGAGTGTCTCCAAGACAGTGAGCAGAGCTTCATTATTTTTAAACCAGCATTTCCCCCTTTACGGGAAATGTGGAGATGTTTCAAGGAATAAAGGGTAGACTTCTGGTCCAAGATGGCGATGTAGGAAGACCCTGAACTCACCTCCTCCATGGACACACCAAATCAATTGCTATTTCACAGCAATTCCTCCTGAAGAAGGACAGAGGACTGACTGAACAGCTTCTGAACAGCACAACAAATGATAAAGGGACCACAGAGAGAACAGCAAGAGAGACAGAGACACAGGAATGAAGGGAACCGTGAACTTCAGTGGGCAGAGATAGTACCAGGGATCATGAGCAGAGTCTGCCCACAGAAAAAAAGCCTCAGTTTAAAAGGGCAACTAGAATATAAAGGAACCAGCCCTAGAACCCTGTCAAATGGCAGGGGAGCTGCTGGAACTTTCTCTGAGTCAGAAGGGCTGGTGAGCACCATGGTTTCTGTTCTCCATCCACCTTGATAGGAATAAAGGGTACCATGGGCCAGTGTTGGGTACATGCATAAACAAGGTTAAATATTCTTTATGCTAGTACTTCTCAGTCTTTAATACATAATCGTGTCACTCTAGAAGGCACATATACTAGGAAATTGTCTTTAGACAGTGGAATTCTTTTTGGAGGAGGAAAGGGATGCTGAGGACAATGTCATAGAAGTAATGTTCCTTGAAACACTGGGGAAATACTGTCCCCAGGTTTTTGTCCTGTCTCATGACAAATGCTACCCTACATTCCATATCCAAATATGCTGAATGTGTTCCCTTTGCCTGGAATTTTCTACCCCCAGGTCTCTTGACATAGCTCTCTGCCCTTCTCTTCATTCAGGTCCCAGCTCAGATGTCCTTCCTCAGAGAGGTCTTCCCTGGCCACTTGACCCTGTCACTCTCCATCTCAGAGCACTTACCACTATTTGAAATGTTTGAAGTAATGTATTTGTTATATTGTCATTCTGTTTCTCCTGTTTGAATGCAAGTTCATGTCATGAGCGTACTGCTGTGTCCCTGACATTTAGAACAGGCTCTGGCACATAGTAGGTGCTCCACTGAAGGAACGAACACCGAAGTTAATGAAGCCTTTGCATTAAACAGGGTGGAAGATCATGATGATCTCATGCCGATATTTATGCGCTACGATACGCTCCTGAAGGAAACTTATGGCGAGTACTTCCTGGCTGAACTAATAGAGGCCCAAGACGAAGAGAATCATGCTGTCGTGTGCGAGGTTGGTGATTAGTCTGCCTGGGGCTGCGCTTAGTGAAATGAAAGAAATAAGTGATATTGCTCCTGGTTTTTGCCCAGCTCCCCCAGAGCTGCTATCCCCTCCCTGCTTCCTGAGGCCCTTCCAGGTGGTGTGTCAGGCCCGCTTAGGAGTGGTGACATCACCCTCCTTCCCAGCGTGACCTGGCTTTAGGTTTGTAGGTTTTTGTGAGGTGCTTCCAGATACCAGGCTGCTGTGGACTCTTTGCCCTGCCCCTGAAGGTAGGGATGGAAGTTAGGGTGAAAGGGAGAGATTCTTGAGGGCGTCTGGGTGGATTTCTGAGAACCCAAGATCCCAGAGGCCAGAGATCACAGACCAGCATCCTGCTGGCACATGGATTTTGTTTGACTTGGAAAATAATTCTTTTTAACTTTTTGTTTTAACAAAATTTCACACTTAGAGAAAACTTTTAGGCACTGAAATTTCCTAAATGGTAACATTTTACCACATTAGCTTTATCATTCTCTTTGCTTGCTTTTTCTCCCTATTTTTATATATAAGCATATATATTTATATTACTTATATTATATTGTAACATAAATGTATTTATACCATAATATAAATATACATATATGTATTATTTTAGAACTATTTATTTATATATTTTTCTGAACCATTTAAGAATAAGTTGTGGATGTCACGACCCCTTTACTGCTAAATACTTCAGTGTATATTTCCTAAAAACAAGAATGTTCTCTGATGTAACTGCAGTACGGTGATCAAGCGGAGCAGTTATGATTCCTACAGCCCTATTATCTGATCTACAGACCTTATTCTGATTGTATTGGCAGTCCTTGATAGCAGAAGTAAATCCACATCATCTGTTGCACTCAGGTGTCCTGTGTCTTCAGTCTCCTGTAATCGGAACAACTCCCCGGTCTGTCTTTGTTTTTCATGACAATGACTGTTTTGAAGAGCACAGGTCAGTTATTTTGTGCAGCGTGTCTCAATTTGGATTTGTCCGTTGTTTTCTCATGATTTGATTTAGGTCATAGATGATTAAATTTTGTTGTATTAGTGGCTAGCATTTCAAAATTAGGAAAGTGTATATAACAACTGGAATTTCTAGTTTCTCCGGAAGTATCAGAAGGCCTGCTGTCGGGCCCCAGTGAATCGGAGCTATGGAACAGCTGCTGCTATAGGCAGTGCAGGTGCCCTTGAGCACATCACCATTCCTACTGTGTCCTGGGGGTTCATGGCCCTCCGCTGGCCATCTTCCCCACTTTAAACCAGCCTGGCCCCATGAGCACGTCAGTCGTGACCGCTGACTCAGAACATGCTTTATGAGTGTCCTGATTCCACACCATCCATCCCGGAAGGCTCTACTGAGATGGGAGGTAGGGATGGCAATAAAGAAAGATGGAACCCACCCCCTCTGGTTTGACAGCTGTAGACCCTGTGGTCTACCTACACCCAAGGGAAGCGGGGGAGAAGAGACACAGAAGAGAGCTGGCGAGCTGGCTAGATTTGGTGTGTCTCAGCTCAAAGCAGGGAGCAGGCTGACCCAGCACCTTGGGCAGCCACTGTGGGCAACTCTGCAACACTTGAGACTGTCTCTCATCCTTGCCCTGCCCCCAGAGGCATTCACAGAGGGACACTGCTCCCTTACAGAATTTTAGCTACCTATGGCTTCCTTCTCTGCATTTGTCTCCACATGATTTGATAATGAGGATTCGATCCCAGTTCTGATAGCTAAATGTAAGTGTGTTGAGGTATCTTTAGACCTTTGTGCTGGTTTCAGTGTGCTGAAATTGGCCTTCCTGAAAAATATCATGATGGAATTCTATCTCATGTCCTACTCCATCGGACGCTTTGGGCATTCTTAAGGGTTGAAAATGCTGAACTAGGAATATTCACAGCCTCTGCTCAGTGGTATGGAGAAATTGACTGAAAAAAAAATTGAGACTTTTAGTTCCTTAGGGTAATTAGGGAATGTATGGTGACTGTTCAGCTTTAGGTAGGATAGGGCCGTGACCAATGGCATCTGCTTTATGTGTGTATGAGAAATGTGAGGAAAATATTTTAAAGTAGTAAGGACTCAAACTTGAGCATACATTGAAATGACTTCTTGGGGTGATTAGAACACAGATTCCTGGGACCCAGCACAGTGTGATCTTGTAAGTCTGGGATGGGCCTAAGAATGTGCATTTTTCACTAGTTCCTGGGTGATATTGATGCTGCTGGTTCAGGAACCAGATTTGTGTACTCCATTTTAAAGGCTTGAAGCTCTCCTCCAAATGACTTGTTGTTGACTTGTGTATAGGGACCTCACAAGATCGGCCTTTTGTTGATGGTTTTAAGAATCAAGAAAAGAAAGCAATTCAAATGTGAGCTAAGATGTTCTCTTTGCATCACATGAGAAATATAGAGGGCAATTTCTGTAAAGGCCTTTAAAAGAGGTTTATATAAGCTTGGACTGAAGATTGTTTTTGACAACAAGATAATCTTATTTTGAATGAATTTCTGTGTTGCCTTTTGCATATCATAATAATCAACAAACATGGATAGAACCCTTGGGTACCCAGCCCTATACCTGAATACTTCATTCATAGAATCCCAAGGTTCAGGCAAAGATGACCACAAATTAGTTTTTTTTTTTTTTCAAGTGGATATTTGACCTTTGCGTTGTGCCAGTTTATTGAAAAGCTTTCAAAGGTGGGAATTCAGCATTCTAGGATGATTGTTCAGGGATTCTTCATACACTGATTTCTCTATTTGACAAAACTGTAAGAGCTATTTAAAGAATATTACTTTTCTTGGGAAACTTGGAATCAAAAGTTCTTTTATTCTGATAACATGATCTGTTTGAGACTTGGTTCTACATCAGCAGTTCTCAAGCTCAGTTTGTATGAGAACCACTTGGGAGACTTTTAGACTATCCCCATGCCAATGAACTTGTATCCAGAATATATAATGAACTCATATAGCAATAAAGAGAAAAATCATCTAAATGAAATGTGGACAAAGGATTGAATAGACATTTCCCCAAAAAAGATATACAAATGGCCAATAAGCTCATGAAATGGTGCTCAACACCATTAGTCCTCAGGGAAATACAAACCAACACCACAATGAGATACCACTTCGCACTTGCTAGGATTGTTATAATAAAAGAGAGGGACGATAACAAGTGTTGGTGAGGATGTAGAGAAAGTGGAACCCTCATAGACTGCTGGTGGGATTATAATATGGCATAGCCACTTTAGAAAACAATCTGGAATTTTCTCAAAAAGTGAAACATAGAATTAACATTTAACCCAGCAGTTCCATTCCTAAATTGAAAATACATGTCCACATAGAAACACGTACATAAACATTCATAGCAGCATTATTCATAATAGCCAAAAAGTGGAAATAACCCACATGTCCATCTGCTGATGAATGAATAAACAAAAGGTGGTATAGCCATACAATGGAATATTATTAGGAGATAAAAGGGAATGAAGGATTATGCATGCTACAACATGTTTGAACCTTGAAAACATTATGCCAGGTGAAAGCATCCAGACCTCAAAGACCGCCTATTGTATGATCCCATTTATATGAAAGCCTACAAAGAGCAAGTCCATAGAAACAGAAAATAGATCAGTGGCTGGAGAAAGAGGTAGATGGGGAACAACTAATAAAGGGTATGGCGTTTTTTTATGGGGGGGGCCAGGGGACGAAAATGTTTTGGAATTAGTGGTTGAAGGTGTGTATCTTTGTGAATATACTAAAAGCTACTGAATTGTATATTCTTTAAAGGTTTATTTTTATGGTAATTGAATTATATCTCAATTAAAAATCCTGATGCTAGCATATACTTAGACCAAGTAGATCAATCTTTCAGGGTGGGACATAATCAGCATTTCTAAAATGCTCCCATATCGTTCCAGTGTGCAGTCCAAGTGGTGAAATATTTATCTGTAGATGTATGATGGAAAACGAAACCATATCTGGTGAAGGACAGGATGGCCTGAGGGAGATAAAGGCATTAGTTTCTGAAGGTGAGAACTGGCCCTAAAAATTAGATTCTGAGGTCCTAGTACATAATATTTGTTTCTTCTCCATTGAAAGGGTTATTTTTATTTTTTCATATTTAGGTTTTGCATTCTCCTTTAAGGACTTTCATATATGTTCATTCGGCCTATAGCTTCAGGCTAATGAATAAAGGAAGAGTCAAGGAATATTTGGGCCCAGCAGCACCATTTTGAAAACTATGTCTTTACATGATGAGACAAAACTACTGAGAAGTAATGATTGATGAAGACCCCAGTCAGGCCTTTTAATGACCAAAATGGCCTTTGTTTTTTAGAGAAGGCTTTTATTTGTTCCAGCTTTATTGGGATGTAATTGACATATATGATTGTGTAAGTTTAAGGTGTACACCATGTTGATTTGATACATTTATATATTGTAAAATGATTCCACCATAGCATTAGCTAACACCTGCATCACATCACGTAATTACCAGTACCATTTTGTGGTGAGAATGTTTAAGATCCATTCTTTTAGCAACTTTCGAGTATCTAATACAATATTGTTAACTAAAATCACCATGCTTTACATTAGATCCCAAGAACCTATTCATCTTACAACTGGAAGTTTGTGCCCTTTGACCAACATCCCCCCCCTTTCACACGCCTCCCAATCCCTGGTAACCATAATTTTACTATTTCTATGTGTTCTTTTTTAGATTCCACATATAAGTGATATCATATAATATTTGCCTTTCTCTGACTTATTTTGCTTAGCATAATGCCATCATGGACCATCCATGTTGTTGCAAATGGCAGGATTTCCTTCTTTTCTCGTGGCTGAATAATATTCTATTGTATGCATATATACCACATTTTTAATTAATTCATCTGTTGAAGGACACTTAGATTGTTTCCATATGTTGGCTATTATGAATAGCATGAACATGGGAGTGCAAATATCTGTTCGAGATCCTGTTTTTGTTTCTTTTGGATATACAACCAAAAGTAGTATTGCTAGGTCATATGGCAGTTCTATTTTTAATATTTTGAGAAACCTCCATACTGTTTTCCATACTGGCTATAGCAAATTACATTCCTATGAACAGCACATGAGGGTTACTTTTTTTAAAAAAAGATTTTGTTTTTAAGTAATTTCTACACCCAACATGGGGCTTGAACTCACAACCCTCGAGATTAAGTGTTGCACGCTGTACCAACTGAGCCAGCCAGGGGCCCCAGAAGGGTTCCTTTTTCTCCATATTCTTGCCAGTGCATTGTTATCTCTTGTCTTTGTGATGATAGCCATTCTAATAGATGTAAGGAAATATCTCATTGTGGTTTTGATTTTCATCTCCTAATGATTAGTGAAGTTGAGCATCTTTTCATGTAGCTGTTGATCATTTGTATGTATTCTTTGGAAAAAATGTCTCTTCAGATTCTCTGCCCATTTTTAAATTGGATCTTTTTTTCCCTGTTGAGTTGTAGGAGTTCTTTATGCATTTTGGATATGAACCCCCTATCTAATATTCCAGTATATGGTTTACAAATACTTTTTCCCATTCTGTAGATTGCTTTTTCATTGTGTTGATTGTTCCTTTTGCTGTGCAGTAACTTTTTAGTTTGATGTCATCTTTCTTATTAATTTTTGCTTTTGTTGCTTGTGGTTTTAGTGTCATATCAAAAAAATGGTTGCCAAGAACAATGTCAAGGAGCTTCTTCTCCCTACATTTTCTTCCAGTAGTTATACAGTTTCAAGTCTTATGTTTAAGTCTTTAGTCCATTTTGAGTTAATTTTTGTGAGTGGTGTGAGGTGGAGTCCAATTTCACTCTTCTGTATGTGGATATCAGTTTTCCCAGTACTGTTTATTGAAGAGACAGTCATTTCCCCATTGAGTATTCTTGGCTCCCTTATTAAATATTAGTTGC